CTTGTCTGACTGGAGGCCTGTGACTAGTGGTGTTCCTCAGAGGTCAGCGTTGGGCCCATTGCTGTCTGTTATCTATATCAATGATTTGGATGAGAATATACAAGGCATGATTAGTAAGTTTGTGGATGACACTAAAATAGGCGGTATCGTGGACAGTGAGGAACGTTATCAGAAAATGCAGCAGGATCTTGATCAGCTGGGGAAGTGGGCTGAGAAATGGCAAATGGAGTTTAATATAGATAAGTGTGAGGTGTTGCATTTTGGAAAGTCACATCGAGGTAGGAGTTTCATGGTGAATGGTAAGGCCTTAAGGAGTGTAGTGGAAGAGAGGGACCTTGGAGTTTGGGTGCATGGTTCTCTGAAAGTGGAGTCACAGGTAGACAGGGCAGTGAAGGCGGCTTTTGGCACACTGGCCTTCACCAGCCAGGGTATTGTGTATAGAAGTGGGAAGTTATGTTGCAGTTGTACAGGACATTGGTGAGGCTGCACCTGGAGTATTGTGTTCAGTTTTGGTCACCTTGCTATAGGAAGGATGTTATTAAACTGGCAAGTGTGCAGAAGCTTTTTATAAGGATGTTGCCAGGACTCAAGGGACTGAGTTATAGGGAGGGGTTGGACAAGCTAGGACTTTTTTCTTTAGAGTGTATGAGACTGAGGGAGGGAATCTTACAGAAGTGTATAAGATCATGAGAGGCACGGGGAGGGTGAATGTGCTCAGTCTTTTTCCCAGGGTTGGCGAATTGAGGACTAGAGGGCATCAGTTTAAGGTAAGAAGGGAAAGAATACATGGGAACCTGAAGGGCAACTTTTTTTACACAGAGGGTGGGACGCATATTGAATGTACTGCCAGCGGAAGTGGTTTAGGCAGGTACATTAACAACATTTAAAAGGCATTTGGACAAATACATGGATAGGAAAGGTTTAGAAGGATATGGGCCAAGTGCAGGGAAATGGGTTTGGAATGGATGGACATTTTGGTCAGCATGGACCAGTTTGGGCCAAAGGGCCTGTCTCCGTCCTGTAGGACTCTGACTCTAAATGAAGTAATACATTGAATAGGGCAGGATGTTGGGGGTAAAGCTACAAACTATAACATATCTGTCATATGGGGTTAGTTTTAATACATTCCATCTGTACTGATTTGCTTTTTGATTGAAATACTTTCTCAGAGAAGGAAGCAGCACCAGCCCCAACAAAGGCATCAACTGTCTCAGAGCCTGAGGCACCTGAAGAACCCCAAGAGGAGACTGGAGAAGAGCATAAAGGTAACTGCACTCAGGCATTGGAATAGACTAGCATTTTGTCGTACTGTACTTAGCTGAACAAAGCTATTCAAGGAGCACCTTTGTTGGATTTTCAGCTGGACTTGAAAAGGACGCTGTTGTTTGCTGAATTGTTGGGGGTGCTCAGTTTTTGAGTGAACATGCAAAAGTCTCCAGCATTTGGAATGTCTGCCCTCTGACACCGTGAAACACAGGCCAGGAGATTTTAGTATAGGGCAGACCTTGTAATGAAAGCACATTTACATCTCCTTCCTGCCCCCTTCTTCAATGTTCACTTATTTGGTCGAATACTATGCAACAGCCTCTGTCATCTTTCACATACAAGATATTGTTGCCGACAGAAGCCTAGATTGTTACTTTTTGTAGTTTATACAAACCCACGTATGAGATTGTTATTAAGTGTAAAATTTGCAAAATGTTTCATTCCAGCTAAATGTTTTCATTTGAGAGATTTATTTTTGGAATGGCACCTAGTTTGTGCAGCTGTGGTATCTAAATCCTGCACCAAGTTCTTGCATGGCAGCTGTTGTATTTCTTTTCAAATCTACATGTAAATCTGCTGTGAGTTTTGTTGCCTCTGTGGCATTGGGACAATGCTAGCAGTTGCCATGTGGTCTGTTTTGTGAAGTTCTGAGTTGCTCTGGTTTCTTTGAGTTGAGGGTGGACATATCTGTGACAGAGGATGGGCACTGAGCTGTTCTTCAGCTCTAGCAAATGCTACTGTGTCTCGGCCAAAAGGGGAAACACAAACGTAGAAATGGCAACATTTCCTTCTTGCAAATAGAGTCATAGCCATATAGCATGGAAACAGACCTTTCGGCCCAACTTGTCCAGGTTTCCAAAACTGAACTAGTCCCATGTGTCTGCATTTGGGCTATGTCCTTCTAAACCTTTCCTCTCCATGTACCTATCCAAATGTCTTTTAAGTGCTGTAATTGTGCTCACCTCTACCATTTCCTCTGGTAGTTTGCTCCATGTACACACCACCCTCTGTGTGAAAAAGTTGCCCCTCAGATCCCTTTTTAAATCTTTCCCCTCTGACCTTAAACCTATTCCCCCTAGATTCAGACTCCCGTGGCATGGGGAAAAGACCTTAACTATTCATCTTATCCACGCCCCTCATGGTCTTATAAACCCCTATAAAGTCACCCCTCAGCCTCCTTTGCTTCAGAGGAAAATCGTCCCAGACCGTCTAGCCTCTCCTTTTAACTCAAACCTTCCAGTCTCTGTAACATCGTTGTAAAACTTTTTTGCCCCCTTTCCAGTTTAATAACATCCCTTATATCGCAGGGTGACCAGAATTGTACGTAGTACTCTAAAGTGGCCTCACCAATGTCCTGTACAGCTGTAACATGACATCCCAACTCCTGTAATCAGCGCTCTGACCAATGAAGGCAAGCGTGCCAAATGCCTTCTCCATCACCCTGTCTACCTGTGACCCCACTTACAAGGAACTATGCACCTTCATCCCTAGGTTTCTCTGTTCAACCACATTCCCCAGAGCTCTACCATTAACTGCGAAGGTCCTGCCATGGTTTGCCTTACAAAAACGCAATACTTTGCATATATCCAAATTAAACTCCTCAGCCTATTGGCGCAATTTATCAAGAACCCTTTGTAATCTTCGCTGTCCACTATACCATCAATTTTGGTATCTTCCGCAAACTTACTAACCACGCCTCCTTGCCACACATCGCTGGTCACAGGCCTCTAGTCTGAACAACAACCCTGTCTACCACCCTTTGTCTCCTGCTGTGAGCAACTGTGTGACACCAATCCACATTTGAAGATCAAAGCCCTACTGTCCTGTATTATGTTTTGGTGCGTTGACATGCAGCATCCCTCAATCTAGAAACCATTTAGTTATGAATAAAGTCTACTAAGGTTGACTCATTCAACATAGAAGGCCTTATTCAGAAGCAATTTGTATCTGCCATTCTGTTCCTCTTGTTATATATCATGTTCTTAAGATTTCTGGAAAGTTACAGCTAGTGTGTCTACTATCTAATCAACATTCTGGGAAAAGTATTGGTGGGGCCTAGTGACTTGGTCAGTTTGTCCCAATAACTATTGCAGTTTCTTTTTGAATATTTGGCTCCTTTGCATCCTCTTCAGATGTTGCTATAGCCCTACTTTCCTCTCATTTATTATCTTCTTGCTGACCTGGTTCTTATTCTTGATCATTCATTATTTAATACATTCCCTGCATCCTTGTATACTTAATCATCAGTTCACTTACTTGTTCTGCCTCAAAACATTGAAGCTAGCTCCAGCAACTCCCTCTCTCCGCACACGCACGCACAGACTCATGTTGCCCTGCAGTGGCACTGATTGGAGGGACAGCTTTGAGCGAACCACCCGCAGCCAACAGTTAGGTTGGAGAGAGGACAGTGGTTCAGGGTATGCATTTGCACCACACGGAAAGGATTGATGCAAACTGCAAGAAGAATGGTCCTGAAAGGTTTAAGGCAGTGCTTCCCAAACTTTCTACAATGTGTGACCCCATTTTCATTCTCAGCAGACGCTAAATGTTCATTAGCAGCATGATGAGACCAAGAATGTTAGACACTGTATTATTAAAGTCTAAAACAGAACAGCGTATGAAATTTCACTGTGAAATTAAAGGACACTGCACTTAGCTTCATGAGACACACGGACATGCAAGATGCATCACAGTCGCTCAAAATCTGGCATCTAATTTCCGATGTGACCTCCACACTTAATCAACATTGAGTTTGATGTTGACCAGTGTGCTAAATCCAGCTTCACAGAAATACATACTGTGGAAAGGAACCATCCTTGCAATGCATGTCAAATGATGTCAGGATAGTCGGTCTTCACATCAAACCAGAAATCTCAGAGATACTCTGGAAAATTTTTTTTTGTAAAAGATCAATTGTGAGAAATTCCAATACACTTTGAATTTCAGCTGCAGCTATTTTCATTAAATTGCAATTTCAAGCTGACATTGAAAAGGGGTTTGGATAGAAGTAAGTACAGGTGTCCCTGATTTACAAATGGTCTGATTTACAAACACTAATACTTACGAAAGCAATCCCATACAGGCGTATAATTTTAAAGATCTGACATGCAATTGTTTCCTGTACTTACAAACGGCTGTTTTACATTGGCCTCCGTATGCTGTGATTTGCACACAAATCAACTTGTGAATGGACTCCAGAACAGAACCCATTTGCAACGTGGGGACTGCCTGCATTATGATATCTCATTCAAGACAAAAAAAAATCAGTGCCCAGGCGACTGTTATGATCGATCACGAAAGGAGTTGGGGCACTGGTTGAATTGATTGTCAGAGCTAAACTCGGAAAGTGGGGGCAAGAGTCAGAAATCAGCGTCAGTGTGTTACTGTTCTGGAATGCAATTTTCTTCATGAATGCCTTGAGCCTATCTTTCTGTTGCAAAATGTTTGTGTTCTTTGCTTGCATTGTTGTATTCAATTAATTTGGCTTCTTAAAATATGTGTGCAACGTAAGGAGGGCGATGCATTCTGTTTCAGTCACAGAGGAGATCTGTGAATTCCTGGTTCTTTTGGCAGTGCATTGCAAATGTAAGCAGTTGACCTGACCCCTTAGTTCCAAACACCTTGGCCAGTCAGCACTCCTCAGTGTGATCCAACAACACATCATGATCAGATGTTACATCTGCATGCAGTCTTGTGACTGGTCTCAGGCTACAGTCTGATAGTGATCAGCTGGTAAGTAGGGCAGAGCAATGGCAGGTGGGTGACTTTGAGTGCACTGGATCTTATCAATTATAAATTTATTCACCTAGCTCAGTTTGTTTGTAACCAATCGCTACCTGTAAATTGTACAGTGAGTCCAAACAGCAAATGGAGCACCACGGCAAGCATGCTTGACTTGCAGCCTGCCATAACTGGAACAACACCAGTGCAAAATCCATTCAGATGATCCCAAGGAATACTTTTTCTCGTTCCATATAGCCATGTAACACACGGAATATTCCCTGTGCTGTTTCATGCTCAGGATGCAGGAGGTAAAACTAAATGTCTTCAAGAATGCTATTTTCTGACATGTATTCTACAACAGCCAGTATGTGTGCATCATGCCCTTCAGTACTTGCATCAGTTTGAAGAGCAAAAGCAATTGTGTATCTCAGGTGCTCCACCAGTATATCTACTATCCTTTACGTGAAACTTTTTTTTCCTCAAATCTTTTCTAATCCACTTACTCCACACCCTAAATATCTGCCAAAGGGAAAAGATTCTCATAATCTGCCCTGTCTATGCCCCTCATAATTTTGTATACCCCAGTAAGATCCATCTTCAGCCTCCTCTGCTCCAGGGGAAAACAAACCCAGCCTTTCTGGTTTTTCCTCATAACTGAGACTTTTCATCCTAGGAAACATCCTGGTCGAATCTGCTGTGCACCCTCTCCACTGCAGTCACATCCTTCTGGTTGCTACACTATCAGCTGCACACAGTGTTTCATTGGTGGCCTAACCAGTGTTTTTTAAAGTTGTAATAAGGCTATACTTGTTCTTGCAAGTATAGACTTGCTCCTATATTCTATGTCCCAGTTGATGAAAGCAAACATCCTATATGCCTTCTTCACCAGCCTGTCTACCTGTGCTGACACCTTCTGGAAAATATGGACTTGTACATCAATGCCCCTTTGTACCTCAGACCTCCCTAGGGACCTACTATTCATTGTGTATATCTTTCCCTTAATAGACCTCCCAAAATGCATCACTTCACACTTACCAGGATTAAAGTCCATCTGCCATTGCTGTACCCTATTTACCAGCTATTTACCCTATTTACCAGACTGTAGCCTGAGACCATCCTCCTCACGATCAACAACACCACCCAAATTTCATGTCATCTGTAAACTTCTTAATTAAACCTTTTACATTCACATCCAAGCCGTTAATTTACATAGACAGTAAGGGTCCCAGCACTGATCCCTGTGGTGCACCTTTGGTCACAGGCTTCCAGTCACACAAGCCCTCCACCATCAGCCACTGCCACCCATTTGCACGTCAACTTTGGATCCAGTCCGCCAACCTGCCTTAGATCCCATGGGCTCCTACCCCCAGACAAGCTCTCCATGTGGAACCCAGTCAAAGGCCTTACTGAAATCCATGTAAATCACGTCAACTGCACCACCCTCGTCAATACATTGTCACCTTTTCAAAAACCTCAACCAAACCAGCCAGAAAGGACCTCCCTTGAACAAATCCATGCTTACTATCCCTGACCAATCTCTGCCTTTCCAAGTATTAATCAATCCTGCCCCAACACCCAGAATCCCCTCCAACAACTTTGCCATTGTTGATGCAGTCTGCAATGACCTGGCCCATCCCTACCACCCCTCCTGAACAATGGGACCATACTGGCCACCCTCCAGTCACCTGGCACCCCACCCAGGGCCAACGAAGTATTAAATATCTCCTCCAGGACTTCAGCAATCTCCTCCCTTGCCTCGCATAGGATACATCCCATCAGGCCCTGGGGATTTATGCACCTGTATGCCTGCTAAAACATCTAATACCTTCTCCTTATTAGACTTAACATGTACCAGAACCTCACCATCCCAAATGATGCATCCTCGGCTACAATGTCTTTCTCCTCTACGAATATAAATGGAAGCACTCATCCAAGACCTCACCCGTGTCCACTGCCTCCATGCACAGGTTTCTCCCTTGGTTTCTAATGGGTCACACTAATTCTCCTGTAATCCTCCTACTCCCAATATACTCATTTAAAAAACCTTGGGGTTCTCCCTGATCCCATTCGCCATAGATACCTTGTGGCCTGTCTCTGCCTGCCCTCCCAATTTCCCTTCAAAGCAACCTCCTACACTCTCTATACTTCTGAAACACCTCCCCCGTTTTTAGTGCTTTGATATATGCCTCCTTCCTCTTCTCTGTCAAACTTTCGATAACCCCTGATATCCAGGGTCCCTTGGACTTACTGCCCTTACCCTTACCCTTAAGAGGAACATGCTGGCCCCAAACTCCACTATGCTGCTTTCAAAAGACTCGCACTTTCCAAAAATGAGCCTACCTGTAAGCAACCGCTCCTAGTCCGTGTTTGCCAGGTCCTGCCCAATGGAGGGATATGGACCAAGGGCAGGCAGAAGGGATTAGTTTAATTTGGAGTCCTGTTCGGCACAACATTATGGGCCGAAAGGCCTGTTTCTGTGCTGTACTGTTCTGTGTTCTATGATATCGAAATTGGCCTCTGGTAAAATCAAAGTCTCTGCAGTTGTGTGAGGCTTCTTGACCTGTGCAATCTGATAGCCCACACCAAAGATTTTTTTTTGAATTAAACAAATTGCAATGCACAAGGAAAGCCTCATCACATATGTACACACACTTCTTGCCACCTTGTTTCTCATTTCCAGAAGAATTAGAAGATGCACAGCTGGCGATACAAACGCTACTGAAAAAAATTGTCTGTTCGTGGTCTGATTAACTGCGAGTAATGAGATCAATAAGTCCTCACTTAAAGTTGTGTTCCAAAGATTTGCAACTTTAAGTGAATCACATTTTCCCCACAAAGACGTGTGGAAATTTGTGTTTGGTTTCATGCTCATCAGGAGAACGAAGAGCAGGGAATGGGAGAGGCCCCTCCAACAAGGCACTGACTGGATCAAACATGTTGTGTCAACCCTGCGCAAAACAAAACTGTAAGGGAACTGATTGTGCACAGAGGGCCAGGTTAGGCACAATGCTAGCACAAAGCCGTGCTGAACGGGGCAACTTAAAATGGAGACCTACTTGTACCAAATCACTGGACTGTTTGGTGCAGATTTAGAGGCACTGATGCTCAATAATTTAAGATGCGCAGAGGCTAGTTCCTGGCCCAACATTGTGTCCTCCTTCCCCTGCTTGCTGTTCATCTATTCAGGATTCCCATTGAGGCAGCAAGGTAGGTCCCAGGATAGAGTTTCCTCTCCACAGACTCCATTGTGGTTTTGTACATTGTGACCCCCAAATTCTGTCCCACTACCCCATTGTGGGTAGAGACTTGTTGAGCATGGGTAAACTCGGTGTGCCAGGGAAGCTGTTGGATGTAGGAAGTTTGAAGTAGGGAATGAGAAAAGAAAAATAGTAATATTTATATATATTTTTTGAAAAAAAGCTCCTGAGTAGACACGTCAACTCAAGTATGATGTTACATTTCCTTCCAGCAACTCGGCATGACCTGACTGAAGAAGAAAAAGAAAACATTCTTCGTTCAGATGGATTTTTATCCTTTTTTAATCAAACCTCCCGAATGATTGAGCAAGCACTTACTGAACACACTGACATCTTCTTTGACTACAGTGGGCGCAATTTAGACGACAAAGAAGGGTGCGTAATGTCCTCCTCATTATTACTAAGTTTATTTTACATCCCATTCTTTCTAGCAGACGAGCCTGTACTGCATGATACTTCAAAACTGCAAAGCCTATTGCTGTATATTTTTAATTCATTATAAAATGTTTCCACAGAGAGATTCAAGCAGGAGCCAAGCTGTCATTGAACAGGCAGTTCTATGATGAAAATTGGTCAAAAGACCGTGTAGTTACCTGCCTGGACTGGTCACAGCAGGTGAGTTGGTCTGAAAGGAGAGTCTGGAAGGTATGGTAACTGTACTGTAAAATAACGCTGAGGCTATTTAAGACAAGGGAAGTTCAGGATTGTGTAAGATTCAAAAAGACCTCTAAAGTAGCCACAAATTGTAAATCTGAGGATAAAGGAGTTTATAGAATGCAGCTATCAGACAGAGAGTAGGACTAATTGGTTTGTTCTCACATTGGCGAGCTGTGACTAGTGAGGTACCATAAGGATCAGTATTTGGGCCCCAGCTGTTCACAAAACAACCAATGGCTTGGGGGTGGGGACCAAACGTATTATTTCCAATTCTGCTGATGATACAAAGCTAAGTGGGAATCTATGTTGAGAAGATGATATAAAATGGCTTCAGGAGGCTTTGGACAGGTTTAGTGAGTGGGCAGATGGAATATTCTGTGAAAAAATGTGAGGTTACCCACTTTGGTAGGAGAAACAGATATGCAGAGTATTTTTTAGACCGTAAGAGGTTGAAAGTGTAGATGTACAAAGGAATATAAGTGTCCTCTTCGACAAATCACTGAAGGCTAACGTGTGGGTTCAGCAAGCCATTCGGAAGGTTAATGGAATGTTAGGCTTTGTCGCAAGAGGATTTGAGGGTAGGAATAGTGAAGTCTTGTTTCGATTGTGTTAGAGCTTGTTTAGACAACACCTGTAATAGTTTAGGTCTTCTCACCTCAGGATGGATATTATTGCCATATGGGAGTGCAGCAAACATTCACTAGACTTGTTCCTGGGATGGTGGGACTGTCCTATGAAGAGAGAGTGGGCAAACTGGGACTGTATTCTCCAGAGTTTTGAAGAATGAGGGGTTACTTCATTGAAACCAACAAAATACCTAAAGGGACAACAAGGTGCAGGGCTGGATGAACACAGCAGGCCAAGCAGCATCATAGGAGCAGAAAGGCTGACGTTTCGGGCCTAGACCCTTCATCAGAAAATACCTAAAGGGATAGACAGAATAAATGCAGGTAAGAGATTTTCCCTGGTTGAGGAGTCTAATACTGGGAAAGGCACAGTTTAAAATTAATGAAGGTGCCATTTAGAACTGAGAATTTTTTTACTCAGAAGATTGTAAAACTTAGAGAATTCTCTTTCACAAAAGAGTGTATAGAGGAGGTAAAAGTCATTGAAGTGTTCGATCAGCTATGATCGCATTGAATAGCAGGCAGGTGCAACAGCCTTCTCCTCTTGCTATGTTCCAGTGAACTTGAATCTCACAGTTTTAGTGTATTTATATAAACTGCCCTAGGCTACTTGTAGGTTATAACAGTTGACAGAGCTCTGCATCCGGTTGTTCGCTCATCTTTTGAAGACAGTTCCCCACAGTTGTTGTCAGATAGGTGTGACATGTAAGTATTGTTACTGGCATCTTGGCAGGCTACCTTTGAAGGACCATTCACCATTACAATACACAGATAGGTCTTCACCAATCCTGTTGATTAAATATTGGCTGGGTGATTGTACACCTGTTGAGGTTGGTTGGCTCCCCCGAGCTGGTTTGTTGTTCAGCTTCATGCAGCTTCGTGGAGTGCCATGCTATTAATAAACACATTGAACTCGACCCCATATACATTCCACTACGGAGGAAACCCGGAAGTGAGGCAATCCATCGCAATGGACCCCAGAGTTTTAAAAACCAGGCGGCAAAACACACCGCTTCATCAGAGGCTGCACTGAGGATGTTACCAAGCACGGTAACGAAACGTCTGCGGAACAACAAACCAGCTCGGCAAGCCAACCAACCTCAACACCCACAACCTGAGCTACATATCTACTTCAAAACCTTTAGTGATTGTACACCATCTGTGGTGTGCCTGATCTGGCTGGTTTTTGTCCTCCTCTTCTAGCAGGTAGAGCTATGGGAGATTTCAACAGATCAACCCGTTGTTGCCCAATGGGAGGGGAGAGAAAGTTATCCCACAGAAAATTTCAGATGAATTCCTAAACAATAGAAAAATCGAAAGGCTTGCAAAAACCCTTATAACCTGAGCAATGATTTTCTTACTGGGCACTTTGAAGCTGAGTTCAGATGTCTTTTTAATGCTTGGAAAACCTGGCAGCACAGTATCCTTGAGTGTATAAGCATTAGGAAATTGTGTGCAGTAGTTTTCTCTTCCCCATTCATCTGTTTTACGTTTTACTGAAGCTCCCAGTTCCCCTTCCCTGGAAATGTGCAAAATAGCATAGTGAATTTCCACCCACTTCCCCATCAGGTTCCTACATCATAGCAGTAAATCCAGACAGAGTGTCTGCATAGTAAGCCAGTGAGAGATCAGTCTTCAGTAGGGCAGTGGGAGTGAATGTTGTAAGACTACAGCTGACATTAGAATGAGGAAGTACTGTGTATGGTATCTAGTATTAACTCTTTCCTTCACTGCTAATTCCCTAATAGTATCCAGAACTACTGGTTGCTTCTTATACCAGTAATGAAGATGCTTTGAATGAGCCTGACGGTGTTGCTGTTGTGTGGAATATGAAGTTTAAGAAGACCACTCCGGAGTATATCTTTCACTGCCAGGTATCGTGGGATGTGTTGAAATCCTTTTACTTACATTCACTTTATGGATTCCGGCTCTTCCTGACAGCTGGCTAACTTTGTGAATAATGCATCATCTCTTGGCAGGATGACAGAAAATTGAATTATAAATGTTAGAGTTGTTTAATTTCATTCACTGGCATGTAGCAAGAAGTGTAAAAGGTAAAGTCACCATAGTCCTGGGGGGGGGGCGCGGTGAGGGTGAGAAGGAGAGTCTACTAACCTCAGCTAGTGTGGGAATTGAACCTGCACCATATGATATCATTTAGCACTGCAAACCAGTCGTCAAGTCACCAGAGTGTACTGTGATAATAATATTTCTATACCATTGAATTATATATGGGTGGTAGGGATCTTGAACTCTTTGTCTGAAAAAGTAGTAGAGGCAGTAACTTCATCACATTTAAGAAGGGCTGCTTCTGCTTGAAGAGCTGTGACCTGCAGGGCTCCATGGGATTCAGTCAGAACAGCAATTGTCAAACAGCAAGGTGCAATGAGCCAAATGGTGTCAGTCCATGTTAGAACTTTTCTTTGATTCTTACTTCATGTGCGCATGTGAAGCTGCAGGTGCTGTACTTGCATTCAAAATCCTGATTTTTCTTGTCTCTATATTATTTCCTGTTAATTTTTTTCTAAATCTGAATGGTGACTTGACCAGTCTATACCACAACTGCCATTTTCTGTTTAATTAAACACAGATTAGTTGTTTCTCTGCCTCTCTAGTCTCAAAGTGATACATAGAAAAACTTCCAGTAAATTCCAGTACTTGCACATGTTTTGCCCTTCTCACAAACTGGAGTAGGTAGTTCATTAAGCTCTTTAATCCAGACAGAACAAGGATAGGGGAGGGTTGTAGCTGAACACAAACAAATCTGAACTTCTCTTGCTGACTAATTGCTGGGTGGACATTATGTTGGCATCATCAAGCCACACTGTTCAATGAATAAAAAATTTTGTATTTATATTGTACTTTTTAACTACCTTCAGATGTCCTAAAGTTCCTCTCAGCCAAAGATGTGTTTTTGAAGCATAGTTCACTGTTGTGATGTAGAAAATGAGGCAGCTACGTTGAGCACCGCAAGCTTCCACAAACAGCAATGAACTGACGGACAAATCATCTAAAAACTGAAAGAATTGCAGATGCTGTAAATCAGGAACAAAAACAAAAGTTGCTGGAAGAACTCAGCAGGTCTGGCAGCATCTGTGAAGGAAAAAACAGAGTTAACGTTTCGGGTACGGATTCAGAGGAAGGTCACCGGACCCAAAATGTTAACTCTGTTTTTTTCCTTCACAGATGCTGCCAGACCTGCTGAGCTTTTCCACCAGCTTTGTTTTTGTTGGCCAAATCATCTGTTTCTTGTGCTGTTAATTGAGAGACTAATATCAGTCAAGACACCAGGGAGAGCACCTCTGCCAGAGCATCTTTTATGCCCACCTGAAAGTGGATGGGGCCTTTGTTTAATGTTTCATCTGATAAGATGTTTATAGTTTTAAAAACTGAGCTTAAACATGGAGTTTCAAGAAAGAATATTAATGAAAGCAGCTAGTCTTTGATTTTTATTTTTGGTTGTGACAAGGTGCAATTAGACTTTGTTGTTCTTTCCTGCAGTCAAAGGTCATGTCTGCCTGCTTTGCACAATTTCACCCGAATCTCATGGTGGGCGGGACATATTCCGGTCAGATTGTCCTTTGGGATAATCGCAGTAATAAGAAGATGCCTGTCCAGCGGACTCCACTATCTGCTGCAGCCCACACGGTGAGAATCATCCATTTATTAAAAAATTGGAATCACTTTGCATGAATCCAGTAAGTGGACAGAATAACGGTGCCAGTATTTGCTGGGACAAAATTATCTTGGAAAAGAGATTGGAATAAACATTTATTTTCCAGATCTTTACTGTGCTAACCCAATATAACTGTTCTGTGTTACAGCACCCTGTGTACTGTGTGAATGTTGTTGGTACTCAAAATGCTCATAACCTAGTCAGTGTCTCTACTGATGGGAAACTGTGTACCTGGAGCCTGGACATGCTCTCTCAGCCACAGGTAAGGCGCTGAATTGCAGGAGCTTGTATTTTTCTTGACTCATTCTAAAGGATTTTAGGTAATGTAGAATGGAAGCAATGCTGCTTTTGCCCTTGTGCAGAAAATCACTCCAAAAAGGGAGAGTTAGTAATATATTTTTCAAAATGGCTTGCATTGACATGTTGCCTTAAACTACAGTGGAACGTTCTACAGGACTTGTCAAGGGTGATGCACCAAGAGCAGGTGACTGTTGATGGAGATGGTGTAGAGAAGACGTGACCCTAAAGAGAATTTTGAATGCAAGATCAATGTAGAGGAATTTAGGGAAAAGAATTCCAGAGCACAGCTCTGAAGCCTCTGTCACTAGTGAGTGGAGGAGAGGAGTGGAGTGGAGAGACACTTAGTCTAGGAGAATTGATGGTACACCCTACAATGTTAGGTCTGCAAGCTGGGAGGTGGTTGGTGGAGTGCTTGGTACGGTGGAGTTTGTGTAGGGTGAAGTTCGGGAGAATGGTTGGCGAAGTTGAGCCTAGGGGGTCTGAAAGAATGAACGAAGATTTCAGAAATGGTGAAACTGAGATCATGATGAAGCCAGGGCAATATTACAGAGCTGGAAAGAGGTCATTTTGAATGTAAGAACTATACATTTGGTCTTTCTGATGTTGAGCTCGAGAAAATTCTGTCTCCATCGTAACACAAATCTTTAACCTCATATCTTGAAACAACTCTTGCAAATGAGGGATGCTGTATCATGCACATTGTTGTATTATCCATTTATGAATTCAGTTGTTATTGGTGATAATTTTTTTTACAGGACAGCATTGAGCTGGTACACAAGCAATCGAAGGCAGTTGCTGTAACCTCCATGTCCTTCCCATTAGGGGACATTAATAACTTTGTTGTGGGTAGCGAAGAAGGCTCCGTGTACACAGCATGTCGCCTTGGCAGGTACAACAAATATTTGCAGAACGTTTACTTTATTGCAGATTCTAACAAATCCAGAAGTCCATCACGTTTTTGTGATCAAAGCAGCTTCTCGGCTCCAATCAACGTTAAAGGCTTTGAGTGGCAGTGTCAGCACTACTGCCAAATAAGTGACAGATGTAATGGAGCACAGAAGTGGATACCGAGTGTATCCTTAAAGGTGCTGAGAGAGGCGGGAGGATCTGAAATAAGCACAGGTCAAGGTATTTCAATGCAAATGACAAAATGGTGGTCTTTATTTGTGAACAGTGTTGTAAAGCATCACTTTTTATAGTGATTTATTTTTTAACTATGTTCACGTATCCCTTTACTACAACATCTTCAACCACAGTGTTAGTTTTCACATGTACACGGACAATACCAAGCTTGACCTCACTTCCATTTCTCCTAGTTCCTCCACTGTTAGTGAACTTGCAGCCTATACATCCGTCATGCAGGAACGGATGAGCAGAAATTTCCTCCAGTGAAGTATTGGGATGTCTGAAGCCCTTTGTCTGAATCCCTGCTCCAAATACTGTTCATGAGTTTCCAACTCGAACCCAGAAACCAAATCTGGAATCAAACAGGAACTGCTGGAAATGCTTGGCAGATGCAAACCAAGTGCTGGCATCTTGATCTCGACAGTTTCTGATTGTCTGCTGCTGCTAGCCGCAGTCATCCACAGGAACCGGGTGTCAATCCTATCTGCCTCGTAGCACCCAACACAGCTGAGCTCAGTTGCTCAGTCGCTCAGTCGCTCAGTCATCCACAGGGAGAACTTGCCCCAACTTGGTGTCCTCATTCTTCCACCACCAACACCGCCCCCCCCCCCCCCCCGCCCATCCTTTCCATGGCATCCTAGACCCATCTCAACCACTCCACTTTCCATTGCATTCATCAGAATCAATCATCATACTTTCACAACATGATGCAGCAATGTTCCCCTCATCCCACATCAGCCTTACAAGTTCCACAAATGATGTGGTGCTTTTAGCCAGTGCTCACCTCCCTTTAAGTTATTGTTGCTAACCTCTGCCTTAGTGAGCTGACAATGTTAGTTTAGCTAGTACTATGGCATAGTGTAATTAGCCTTCCGTCAACATTTCAGGCATAAGCATATTCATTTTGCATGCATTGCAAATAGGGGATGACATTTTTGTAAATATGTGCTCCATGTATTTGCCCCTTCAGTGTCCTCCCATCCAGCAGATGCTGTGTTTTAACCCATCAAACTGACACTGACTGCACCCATCGTGGGTTTTGTCCCAGTCATTGTCCCAGCAGCACTTACAGCTCCCTGACTGACGCCGCACCGTTCCCCTGTCGTTGCAGCTCCCTGACTGACGCTGCACCGTTCCCCAAGCTGACAACTGTTAATCTGTTGATTTAACTGTTGTTAATCCTCTGGACTGTGAGGACTGTACCCCAGCCTGACGGTACTGGGACAACTTGACTAATTGCTGCCACAGCTCCCTTGCGTGGACTGAGGGCCAGCCCCCATTCAGTTTCTAATGTGGCCATTTGTTTGAATGCACGTGATACATGAAGATATCCCCAATCCCAGACAGATCCGTACTGACCAGCAACCTGTCTGTCTATTAGTCTGCGCAAAAGAGCTCATCAATCCAGCGATGCTAAGAGCCATGGGCTCTGGCTGATATGTCAATGCGCTAACTGGCACAGCATGGCAAGGCAAAGCATGGCAATACAAAGCAAAGCAGGGATGCTGCGAGCATGCAGCCAGGTGCTAACTGAGTGAGCGCAATGTAGGCCTCTGCTTTAGTATCCTGCAAGTGGATTCCTGAGGTATCATGATGTCTGTCAGTGATTGGCAAGTCTTGAATGCCAATGTCTGTGGACATGCGTGCAGCTGGTGCGTGTGGATCATGCCCTGAGATTCTGTTTAGTCCGAAGCAACATGGGAGTCTTCCTGAGCAAGTGGTGAGCTGAATCCAGCACGTACCTGCTCTGATTTCCATGTCCAGAATTCATGATGTCTTGTTTGATCATTTAGGATGTTGAATTTAGGCTGAATGTTAATGATGTCAGTTGTGCAGTTCAAAAGGGGTTTAACAAGCTGTGATTGTTTTTAGCTGGCAGCTTGCCACCGCCTAGTGAGAAACTTGCCTCGACATTCAGCAAACATCTAAAAGATTCAGCAAAATGCTCCCCTCAGCAAGACCTTTCGCCGCAGCCAACATCACTCGGACCCCAAGAAGGTTCTGCTGTACATTTTTGTCGTGAAACTCTTACAGAAGCCGCAGGTCCATCTCGCTGTGATGGCTGGTCTGGCTGCTATTGATTGTAGGCCTGAGCTGTGCTGACCCGCTCCGACCCTCCTCACTGCAGTCAGCACACCTTCGATGTGACCCTTTCCGGTGATTCATATCAAACATCTCACAACCACACCAGACGTTGTTTCAGTGGTCCATGTTGTTCACATGTCTGATCGTTGATCTTCCTTCGTATAGTTCACACACTGTTTGGATGAATATGATGAGGCATTATCCATTGGGGGGGAAGAAAGCTCAGTCCAGACAAAATGATCAGTTAGAATGATTTCTGAATGGTCTTTCTTGCTGTTTGGAGGTGATATGCCACCTATTCGACAAATGGCCAAAGCTTTGACTGATCCATTTCCCTCCTCAATAGGAACTCATCATAGTAACAAGTGACAGTTCCAATATGATTGTACTAGGTGATCAGTGGTTTGATTGCAATGGCAGGTCATGGCTTTTCTGGGGACCATTGTCCCATGAAAGCAGTCTGACTGTGTTGACTTCCTATTGCTGAGCCACTGTCTTTTACTTCTTGTCTGAATTTAACCCCTTACTGCGTAGCCACCTCTGTGTGTTTGTGCTGAAGGTTGGCTTTTATTTCACAGTACTTATGACAATCTGAAAACCCACAGACATATTCGATGAATTTCCAAGTTGGAAGGGGTTCTGATCTTGCACCGTCCAGGACTAAGCGGCTGACCTGCTTGGCACCCCACCCACCACCTTAAACATTGACTCCCTTCACCAATGCACAATAGCAGCAGTGTGTACCATCTATAAGATGCACTGCAGTAACTCACTCAGGTGCCTTTGACACCAAAAAAGACAAGGGCAGCAGATACATGGAAACACCAGCCCCTACAAATTCCATTCTAAGCCACTCACCATCCTGACTTAGAGCAATATTGCTGTTCCTTCAATGTCGCTGGGTTAAACACCCGCAACTCTCTCCATAGCAATATTGTGGGTCTACCTACAACTCAACAATTGAGGCAGTTCAAGAAGGCAGCTCACCACCATCACCTCAAGGGCAATGAGGGATGGGCAATAATGCTGCCTTAGCCAGTGATGCCCATGTCCTATGAAAGAGTTAAAAAAAAAAAAAAAAAAAACACCAATTCCTCTTTAAGCCACAACTGAATCTGCCTTGAACGTACTTTGGCTCGAGCACTGTGCACAAGTTTTTTTTTAAAAGGTTAGCTGAATGAAAAATTCGATCTGTTTTCTGAGCGCTTCTCTCCACACCTTTTCCAAGCCCTGTGCATTCTGGCCCAGAGCAGCCACAGCTGGCAGGACCTGCTATGTACTGATTCATCTAGTCTCACTTGGCGACAGTGGCCCCCAATGTGCCCCAGCTCAACTGAGCGCCATCTTTTTGCCACACCACCATTTGCCAGCTGTGTCCTGCATTGGACTGTGCACCCACTCGTTCCCCTTTATCAACGGTACACATTATTTCTTCAAAGAACTCCAATAAATTGGTTAAAGATGATATTCTTTTAACAAAGCCATGTTGGCTCTGCCTGACTGCCTTGAAGTTATCTAAATGCCCTGTTATGATGTCTTTATTAATGGCTTCTAACTTTTCCCCCATGACAGATGTATGGTGCTCCTATGAAGAGTCTTGGGGCATTTCATTACATTGCCTTTAATGTGTTGCTATTTGAATATGATAGAACATCTCTGGATGTATTCTTGCTATATTATTATGGATAGTAATTTGAAACTGATGGTCATTTTGTTAAGCTCCTGAGCAAGAGTAGAATTGAGCAGGTAGAAGAGCTCATAATTTTAAGGTAAATCTAAAATCAGCCCATGTTCTGTCTGATTGTCAGAATTTGAGTTGGGCACTTATTGGCCTTTTTTCCTTTAACAGCTGAAGTTTTCAGGGTGCCTGGTGGTTCCATTATTGAAATCAAGCCCCAGTTTTCCCGCACACTGATATTAGTAGAATGAATCAATCGGAAGTTGCATCTTTCCTGCTAAATCTTTTGCTTGGGCTCTTCATTCAAGTCTGAGTACTCAAGATCTCATTCTGGCCATAAAGAGATACAATCTCTATAGTTTCAGGATTTCCACTCATTATCTGTTTTAAGACAGCATCATAGAGTAATATAGCATGGAAACAGGCCCTTCAGCCCAAACTGGTCCGTGCTGACCATGGTGCCCACTCAGCTAGTTCCAATTGCCTCTAAACCCTTCCCATCCATGTACCTATCCAAATGTTTAAATGTTGCTATTGTACCTGCCTCAACCACTTTCTCCAGCAGCCCATTCCATATACACACCACCCTCTGCGTGAAGAAGTTGCCCCTCAGGTCTTTCATATATCTGTCCCCCTCATCTTAAACCTATGCCCTCTTGTCTACAATTCCCCATCCTTCGGAAAAAGGCTATGCATTCATCTTATCTGTGCTCCTTGTGATTTTATACACCTCAATAAGGTCACCCCTTATTCTCCTACATTCAAAGGAATAAAGTGCTATCCTTGCCAACCTCTCCTTATAACTGAGGCTTACTAGTCCTGACAACGTCCTCGTAAATCTTCTTTGCACACTTTCCAGTTTAAATATGCCTTTCCTATAACAGGGTAACCAAAACTGTACACAATACTCCAAGTATTGGAGCGGCCTCATCAATGACTTATACAACTATAACATAATGTCCCTACTCCTATGCTCGATGCCTCGACCGATGAAGGCCAACATGCTAAATGACTTCTTCACCATCCTGTCTACCTGTGATGCCGCTTTTGACAAACTATGTACTTGTACTCCTAGGTCCCTCTGTTCCACAACACTCCTCAGGACCTTACCATTTACTGTACAAGTCCTACCTTGATTTGACTTTCCAAAGTGCAACACCTCACACTTATCTGTATTGAATTGCATTTGTCAATCCTCAGCCCACTTCCCCATCTGATCGAGATCCCTCTGTAATTTTTGATACCCTTCCTTGCTATCAACGATACCTCCCTAGTTTTGTATCATCCGCAAACCTACTAATCGTGCCTTGTACATTCACATCCAGATCATTTATGTAAACAATGAATAACAAAGGTCCCAGCACCGACCCCTGTGGCACACCACTAGTCACAGGCCTCCCGTCCGAGAAACAACCTTCAACCATCACTCTCTGCGTCCTACCATCGAACCAATTTTGAATCCAATTAGCTAGCTCTCTCTGGATCCCATGTGACTAGCCTGCATGCGGGATCTTGTCAAAGGCCTCACTAAAGTCTATATAGACAACATCCACTGCACTACCCTCATCTATCCTCTTGGTTACCTCTTCGAAGAACTCCAAAAGATTTGTCAGACGTGACTTCCGACACACGAATCCATGCTCACTATCCCTAATCAGACGTTCACTATCCAAACGTTCATTGATCCTGTCCCTCGGTATCCTCTTCAATAATTTGCCTACCACTGATGTCAGGTTCACTGGCCTGTAGTTCCCTGGCTTGTCTTTGCTACCTTTCTTAAACAATGGAATAACAGTAGCCACCCTCCAGTCTTCCAGAATTTCACCAGTGGCTAAAGATGAAGCAACAATCTTGGCAAGGGCCTCTGCAATTTTTTCCCCAGCCTCCCACAACATCTGAGGCTGGACCTGATCAGCCCAGGGGATTTATCCACCTTAATGTGCTTTAAGGCTGCAAACATTTCCTCTCTGGTAAAATGTATGCAGTCCAAAACATCCCCACTTGTTTCCCTTATTTCCTTAGCATCCATGATTCTGTCCTCTGTAAACACAGAAGAAATATTCATTAAAAATCTGCCCCATCTCCTGTGTCTCCACACATAGACGGCCATGCTGATCTTTAAGGGGACCCATTCTCTCCCTAGCCAAACTCTTACTCTTCATGTAGATATAGAACCTCTTGGGATTATCGTTAACCTTATCTGCTAGATCCATTTCATACCCTTTTTTTTAATTTGCTCTTCTGATTTCCCTCTTCATTGTGCTCCTACACTTTTTATAGTCGTCTTGGGATTCACTTGAGCCCAATAGCTTAAACCTTAGGTAGGTTGCCTTTTTTTTCCCGACCACAGCCTCATTATCCCTTGTCAGCCAGGGATTCCGAAACCTGCCAGCTTTTCCCTTCACCCTCACGGGGACATACTGCCCCTGGACTCTTGATATCACACTTTTAAAAGCCTCCCATTTGCCAGTCCTTCCTTTTCCTTCAAACCAACTCACCCAATTGACTGCTGCTAGATCCTGCCTAATGGCCCCAAAATTGGCTCTGCTCCAGTTTAGCACCTTAACCTGTGGACCTCTCCTATCTTTTCCCATAATTATGTTAAAACCAAGAGAGTTATGGTTTCTGGACCCAAAGTGCTGACTGACACTTCAGTCATTTGCCTGACCTAGTTTCCTAAGAGGAGGTCCAGTGTTGCACCCTTCCGAGTAAGGCCCTCTACATACTGATTCAGGAAACTTTCTTGGACACGTTTGATAAATTCCACTCCGTCCGGGCCTTTTATACTGGGTGGCCCAGTCAATACAGGGAAGTTAAAATCTGCAACCAGTACTACTCTATTATTTCTACAAATGTGTTGTTGTAGGTACCCACTGTGCTGCGTTTACTCCTAATGAGACAATGGCTCACACAGTGGAACAAAATGAGGAAATAGCATATGGAGTTACCTTCCTGGTGAAATCCTGCCTTCAAGTGATCCTGCCATAGGCAGGTTATAGTGACCCAGCAGCAACCGTTAGTCAGTTGGGACAGCTAAGGCAAGAGGGATATTGAGGGATATTGTTAATTGCAAGGCGAATGGAATATAATAGCAGGGGAATCTTGCTAAAGTTGTACAGGGCCTTGGTGAGGCTACCTTGGTGAGTACGATGTACAGTTTTGGTCTCCTTATTTGAAGAAGGATGTAATTGGTTCAGAAGTAATTCAGAAAATGTTCATTCGATTCATTCGTGAGAGGAGGAAACTATCTTTTGAGAAAAGGTTGAGTCTGGAATTTTCTTCCAGAGAGCACTGGAGGCTGGACGTTGAATATACTGGAGGCTGGGTTACACAGATTTCTGATAATCAAGGAAGTCAGCAGGTAGTGGAGTTGAGGCCGCAATCTGAGCAGTCACGGTCCCATTGAATAGTGGTGCAGGATTAAGGGATGATACGGCCTGATCCTGCTTCTGAGTCCTATGTAAATGCCCACTTGGGGGCAAATGGGTGAAGCTGGCAGGATTTTTCCGATATCTGACAGGATTTCCTGCTTCCGAGGGCCACAGCGGCAAGCACCCCACTTGGCAAAGGTATGCCTGACTGGCCATTCTTTGTTTTTAGTTTTGCTGAACTGTTCAGCAAGCATCTCCACTTCATGTTCTCCTACCTCCATTAACAGTGGCCACCTCCCTAGGGGAGACTGCTGGCCAACTTGTACTCCCCAACTTGTACTCCAGGTTCTCTAGACCTCCAGCTTTGAGAAGCCACCTTCTGTCCTAAATTGGAGGCAAACATGGAGGCATTCAGGTAAAAGATCACTCCAGTGGCGTGCCCTGACAATACGTTTGTTGGAACATCCTTGGGAATTTAGCCCATACGGAGATAGCGAGAAAGGAAATGAAAAGAGTGGAAGAAAACTCCAGAGACAACCAAAATGGTTTGTAAGTGCAGTTGTGCCTGTAAAAGCAAGAACACCATTTTATCATTCATTTAAAATTGTAGCATGATTGTTTCTCTTCTCAATTACAGTAAAGCTGGAATCATCGAGATGTTTGAAGGACATCAAGGTCCTGTGACAGGGGTCCACTGTCACACAGCAGCAGGGGCAGTGGACTTCTCTCATCTTTTTATCACTTCATCATTTGACTGGACTGTCAAACTCTGGTCAACCAAGGTGAGTCTAAATGGATTGTGATATAGGTATCTTTTTCCATGATCGCTTTGACACCAGTATTGATGTGAACTCGTCCTTAATGACCCAGATCAAATATCTCCCTCTCTCAGGTTTCTGGTTCAGTCTGGTCTATGCTGAACTAGTTGGAGTAGGAAAGGCTAAAACGGTCGTGATTCCTGTTCATACAGCATTCACTGTTAAAAGGCTGTGTGCTTGTGTGTATTTTGGGTGGAAACCATAGCTGACTCCATTATGATGGGGAGGACCTTTGTGGCCTGATAACACTCACTGCTGAGAGTCATTGGAACATGGTAGTAACAAGCAGCTAGAAATGTACCCCAGCGAAGGAGTCAGTGATTTCAGGAGATGAGAAACTGCGGAGAGAGAAAATTGATTACATTAGTCTCCGTTGATCTTTTAGTGTGTTTGGATTTTGTGTTACTTTCCCTGTTAAATCATGAGAATTTCTTTCTTTCTTTCTTTCTTGTAGAGTAACAAGTCCTTGTATTCCTTTGAGGACAGTTCAGACTATGTGTTTGATGTCATGTGGTCTCCTATCCACCCTGCACTCTTTGCCTGTGTTGATGGAATGGGCCGGCTTGATCTCTGGAATCTGAATGAAGACTCTGAGGTACATCGAAAAGATAGTGGTTGTAAGCTGGATTCACTGAGTAAGGCTTGCATTTTAACACGGATAGCTTCAGGTGACAAAGCACCACTGGCGAAATGCAGCTTGCATTTCCCTTGTTTGCTGAATGGAGCCTGCAACATGGGGTCAAGAGCCTCTATTGATGGGAGGTCAGGGTGGTAGAAGTTTTACCAGGATGTTGTCTCGCACCAAATGATGGCAGCATTAATTGTGACAAGGGAGCAGACAACAGGAGGTTGTGGTCCTTTGGTTGGCGAAGATGTGTACCCTGCTCAAGTAAATAACCAACAAAAAATAATTGACTCATCATTGAGCTGTTAGGCAGATGAAAATAATAAAGAAGCTGTTGAAACTGAAAACAAACCAAATAAGCTTCACAGATTGAATTACACACGCAGCCTCATATGAGCAGCATTAGTATTAGTACGGGATCACTAATCTGCTTGCTTTCTCTACAGAATCCCAGACAATATTTAAGCCAAGGTGTATGTCAGCATCTTCATGAATTTTAATATCTTTTTCACTTACTCTATGGCTTCTTAGTAAAGCCACTTTATACTTTAGAATCAAAAGTGCCTCTTTGCTTAGAGATCAACAAGTTCCTTGTTAAACAAGTTCCTTGCATTTCTAATACGCAGGTTCCAACTGCAAGTGTCACTATGGAGGGAAACCCTGCATTGCATCGTGTACGCTGGGCACAATCAGGGCGAGAGATTGCTGTGGGTGATTCTGAAGGGCAAGTGTTGATTTACGATGTTGGAGAGGTAAGAAACTTGCATTGAAAGCTTCACAAGCTAAATTGTACTTCGTGTCATTTTGAACTTTCATTCTTGCCATATGTCCTAAGTAATCCCTAACTGTCCAGAGGTTAAGAGTCAACCACATTGCTGTGGTCTGGAGTCACATGTAGGCCAGACCAAGTAAGAACAGCAGATTTCTTTTCCTAAAGGACATTAGTGAACTGGGTGGGTTTTTAACGACAATCGACAATGGTTACTCAGTTGCCATTTCTATTCCTGAATTTATTCATATTTCACCATCTGCCATGGTGGGATTTGAACCATGTGCTTAGAACATTGGCTTGGGGTTTCTAGATTGTGAGTCCAGTGAAATTAGTAGTACATCACCACCTCCCTTATAACTAATCGTCTCATTGTGCTGGTGAGCTGAGAACTAAGAGACACAGTTTCAGCATAAGGGTGTTGGCCTTTGAAGGCTGAGTTGAGGGGGAGTGCAATCACTCGGAGGATGGTGAAGCCTCAGAATTCTCGACCCCAGAGGGCTGTGGAAGGACAGAGATCACGTTTCTGGAGAGAGCAACATCAAGGGATCAATGGACATGGCGAGAAAGCAGGAACAGGGAACTGAGTTGGCTGAACAGCCATGATCATATTGAATGGTAGAGCAGGCTGGAAGGGCTGAATAGCCTACTCCTATTTTCCATATTTCTATGTTTCAACAGATATAGAGATATTGTGGAAAAGTAACAGGTAAGATAGATGATCAGCTGTAATCAAACTAAATGGCCAGTTTGTATTTATGGTTCACAGTAACTCGGGTGTACTATTCATCATAAAGTGCAGCAAACATTAAACCAGCATGACCACAGAAATGCCGTGATTGTTCTCATTTTTCTTTTTTGTTTTCCCTTTGCAGCAAATAGCTGTTCCCCGGAATGATGAATGGACCAGTTTTGCACAAACACTCGTTGACCTTAAAGCAAATGGGAACGATGCAGAGGAAGAAGCAACAGCAGGTCTCCTTGCATAGGCTAATTATAGATATTTTGTCACATTCCTCTAAGTGGAAGAAACTGCATTAGTTAGCTCAAATTGGCTTCCCTTTTTGCCCCTCTCATGCCAAGTTATAGACAGTGCAATGGTGAATCATGTAATTTGCCCCATGTGACGCTAATTTTTCAGGACACCATACCAGTTACAGTAAGATTTCCTATGTAGTTGTCTTGTTAGAGTGTCCAGTAGCATATGGGTGCAAAACTTGCATGTAAGTTAGATATCTATGTAGCAATTAACTCCATGCTTATTGCTGCTGTTCCATTAATCTAAAGCAGGAGTTTATAACCTTTGGTGCAGTGAATGGCCACGTGTGATAGCTTTTGGATAAAGAGCACAGATTAAGCTGCACATCCAGCATTATGTTTACAACACCATTGGTTTCACCATTCAGACAAATACTCAAGGATATTCCAGCTTAACAGCACTTTCATATCACTGGATCATTGGCAAATAGCTGGGCCTCCATCTGCTGACTGATTTCCCTCTGCAGCTCATGGCTCCTCCTCAATATACTGTCAGGTCTCAGCTATTGGGAGGGGAAGGCAAAGAATAGTTCAACAAATAGATTACTCTCAGCACTTTCCACATTGCAATTTCACAGTATGTCCTTAACATCCTGATGCTAATCATCATGTCAGCACCTTAAATTTCCTAAGTACTTCGCAAGTGTTTAGATTTTTTAAAAAAAATGATGTTTGTGGTTTAGAATTTTTGGAATTGCTGTGCATGCTGTTTCTGATTCAATAATGATCATGTGACTGAGTTTCAAGCGAGCGCTGGGCAATGAAAGGAGCAGAGGCAATTGAGCCAGGTGCAGACTGCAAACCAGATCAAATCCCCAAAGAAGACAGGGTGTACCACTGGCTATAGACCAGGAGCTGTTCACAGGCTTGGCTTTGTAAAGTCAGGGTTTTATGTAAAAGTGCCTGGGAGGGCTGCCGAGATGGATGGAGTAGCTTGATTTTAACTGGCTCACAGGAGGCTCGCTGGTTTGGAGAGATGGGGATTTTAGTAGCTGCACAATGGAACCAAGCAGGAAGTGTCCTCCTCATGGCAGAGGATGACTCATTTGGGTCACGCAGTATATACACATTTTCAGACATACCAAGTGATTCCTTTTAGACTTGCTGGTTAGACCACTAAAGACCCGAGTACTAGTGGGTGGAAAGTGCCTGGAACACAGTTTGCCCATTGGCAGCTTAAAACCGAGACTGGATTCCTGCATGTCATAGGTTCCTGACAAGGATTTTAGAATAAGGCTCTTGAAGAGACCCCCATGCAAATGGTAGCAAGCAAGAATTGAGGTGTAAATACAGTAATAGATAATTCTACTCAGTAAAATTTCACATTGTTTGTGTTATGGCAGGAATTTTAGAACAAAGAGAACGAGCACTGTCTCACAGAAACATATAAACCTATTGAAAGAAAGGTTTAAAATTGGGTGACAGTTCATTTCTTTGCTGTTTTTAAGTGGAAATTCACTTGATAATTCTAATAAAAATAGACATTGGTTTTAAATGTCAAACTCTTGAGTACTGCACAGATATAACACAAAAATAGATTATTCATGTTTAAAACATGAGGGTGTTGAAGAATTGCATGGGGATCACTTGGGATGTTTCTAACTTTACGAGGCTACTGAGAAAGGAGGATCAATTGTTTGTGTATCCAAAGTGTTTGCTGTCATCAATATTCTAAACATTATTTTATAAGATCTAATATTCAAGAAGTTTCTGATGAGCTTGACACAAAGGAAGGCACATTTAGTTCAAATTAATTTTGAACGGGTTATTAATTTCAAAAGTTCTAGCTTGCAGAACAGCAGTTGATCAGCAGATGGCTTTTTAATGCTTGATCTATTCCTATATTTTCTAGAGATAATCCCTCTTTCTTGCTACAGGCTAGCAGAGTGCATTTTCCATTTCTGGCCAGGATGGATTCTCCTCTGTCCACAATTGGAAAACTTAAAGGGTCTCTACATCGCCTGTAACCCACTGCCAGCAAGTTTCTCTCTGAGGCATTAGCAAAGTGAGGTTTAATTTTAAATGCAGTCCACCTTTAAAACTTTCAAAGAGTTAAAGAAAGATCTTGCAGTTTCAGAAGATTTTGATAGAACCTTCTCGACAGTAACAGAATTTCATACACACTGTATTCACTCAAAACACGTGTTCTGGGCTTAACTGCTTCCTCCACTAGAGGCACCAACCAGAGATCAATATTCAGTTCCTTGTGGGTTCCATTATATTACTGTATTGTTCATCTTCTTTAAGAGGGAAATGTTTTTAAACAATTTAAAACAATAGGTTAGATTTAATGTAGCACCTTTATCATAGAAAACTATATGAGGGCGCTTTGCATGAGCGTTACAAAGTAAACTATGACAATGAGAAAAGAAAAGGCTGATAAAGTTGCAAAAATAGTTGTAAATCTGAGGATCTTTAGAATCCAACAAAGGAGGACCAGGGAAAAGGAGAATAGAAAATGAATGCAGTCTTGCAAAAAAATATCAAAACTAACTAAACACTTTATAGGTACATAAAAGGAAATGTCTGGCTAAAATGATTGTGGGTCCAATACAGACAGTCAGAAAAATTGCTAATGGAGAAATGGCAGAGAAGCTAAATGATTACATTGTCTGTTTCCGCTGAGGCAGGTACCAGAGATCCAAATGGCTAGGGAGAATGAGAAGTTGAAGGAAATTAGTATTAGCAATAAGATTGCACTGGAGAAATTAATGGGACTGAAAGTTGATAGATCCCCAGGATCTGATGGTCTACATCCCTGAGTGTTGAAGCAGGTGGCTATACAGATGGTCAATGCATTGGTGATTCTCTTCCAAAATCCTACAGATTTTGGAATGATTCCTGTGGATTGGAAGTTTGCAAATATCAGCCCATAGTTCAAGAAGGGAGTGAGAGAGAGAGAGAGAGCAGGTAACAACAGACCTAGTAGCCTTACAATAGCAGGAGGGAAAATGCTAGAATTTATCATAAACAATGTGATAACTGAATGCTTGATAATAAGTGATCTGATGGGCATAGTCAGCATGGATTTGCAAACGGAAAATTGTGTTTAATGAATTTGTTGGAGTCTTTTTGAAGAGATTACTAGCAAAATTGGTGAAGGCAAACCAATGGAACTAGTACACTTTATTCTCAGAAGGTTTTTGATAAAGTCCTCCACAGGCTGCTGGTTAAGAGAGTAAATCACATGGGATAGGAGGTAATGTGCTGGAATGGTTTAATGATTGGCTAACAGACAGAGAGTAGGAATAAATGGTTTGTTCTCACATTGGCAAGCTGTGACTAGTGAGGTACCACAAGGATCAGTATTTGGGGCCCAACTGTTCACAAAACAACCAATAGCTTGGGGGTGGGGACCAAACATAATATTTCCAATTCTGCGGATGATACAAAGCTAAGTGGGAATCTGTGTTGAGAAGATGATATAAAGTGGCTTCAGGAGGATTTGGACAGGTTTAGTGAGTGGGCAGATGGAATATTCTGTGAAAAAATGTGAGGTTACCCACTTTGGTAGGAGAAACAGATATGCAGAGTATTTCTTAGACCGTTAGAGGTTGAAAAGTGTAGATGTACAAAGGAATATAAGTGTCCTCATCGACAAATCACTGAAGGCTAACGTGTGGGTTCAGCAAGCCATTTGGAAGGTTAATGGAATGTTAGGCTTTGTCGCAAGAGGATTTGAGGACAGGACTAGTGAAGTCTTGTTTCGACTGTGTTAGAGCTTGTTTAGACAACACCTGTAATAGTTTAGGTCTTCTCATCTCGGGAAGGATATTATTGCCATAAGGGAGTGCAGCAAACGTTCACTAGACTTGTTCCTGGGATGGTGGGACTGTCCTATGAAGAGACAGTGGGCAAACTGGGACTGATTTCTCCAGAGTTTTGAAGAATGAGGGGTTACCTCATTGAAACCAACAAAATACCTAAAGGGATAGACAGGTAAGTTGTTTTTCTTGCATGAGGAGACCAGATATTGTCTCGAGCTTAAAGCAGCTGCAGACACAGCCACTAACAGCAGAGCAGTATAAATTTGGGGTATTTAGGAGCTCAGTGTTAGAGAAGCACAGAGATCTCCAGAGGGATGCAGAGGCTGGAGGACACAGTGCTAGTATATTGCTCGGTGTAATACATAAACCACCAGCTAGTGAAAAGGATATAGAGGAACAAATCTGAAGGAAATTAGAGAGGTGTAAACATCATGGAATAATTATAATAGGGGACTTTGATTACCCACATATAGACTGGGATAGTGGTGGTGCAAAGGGCAATGAGGAACAAGTGTTCCTGGGTTGTGTTCAGGAGAATTTCCAACAGCACTGTGTCCAGTCCAACTAGAGGCACTGTTAGATCTGGTTCTTCAGAACGAGGTGGGCCAAGTAGATCAAGTGTTATTGTGGGAATGCTTGGGGGTTAGTGATTATTGTATGATAAGGTTTCAGTTGGCAGTGGGAAAATGATGTTGATCAAGCCAGAGTAAGAATAATTCCCTGGTAGAGAGCAGATTTCAAACAGGCAAGAACAGAACTGTCACAGACTGAAAACAAAAGTTGGTGGGAATAACAGTAGCTGAACAAAGGGCTTCCTTTTTGTTTAGGTATCGTCAATGGAAAAGTGGGACAAACAAATCCAGAGCTGCCTGGGTGACAAAGAGAATAGAAATTAAGTTAAAGAAGGAAGAGTGTACTTATGGCAAGAGTCGGGTGGTAAATACAATTGAGAACCAAGAAGAATACAAAAGGTTCAGAAAGGAGGTGAGAAAGCAAATTCGAAAGTGGCAAGGGATTATGAGAAAAAGACTGGCAGCTAACATAAAATGAAATCCCAAAGTCTTCCTTCAGCAAAATATGTCTCATTAACTTAGCAGAGTTTTTTGGAAGAGGTAACACAGGGCTGATGAAGGTAAAGCTGATTATGTTGTGAGAGTGGATTTCCAAAAAGAATTTAATTCAGTGCCAGGCATCAAACTTCTAAGAAAATGATAGGGACAGTAGCTATGGGGATACAAAATTGCCTGAGTGATAGCTAACACAGTGATGGTAAATGAGTGTTTTTCAGGCTGTGGAAGATGGTTTATAGTAAAGTTTCCTAGGTATTGGTATTGGGACCTTTGCTTTTCCTGACATACATAAACATGGTCTGGATATTGGTGTGCGGGGGCCAGTTTCAAAGTTTGCAAGCAGCACAAAACTTGGCAGAATTTTAAGCTGAGGAAGACAGTGTAGAACTTCACAAGCACATTAACAAGTTGGTGGAGTGAAGAGACATAGTTGTTGAATAAGTGGCAGGTGAAGTTCATTGTGGAGAAGTGTGGGGTTATGCACTTTTGTGCAAAGAATATGGGAAGACAGTATAAAGTGAAGGGTACTATTCAAACAATGTAAAGGGGGTGCAGGAGCAGAGAGACCTGGGTGTATATATGCGTAGGTCATTACAGATGGCAGGACAGTTAAAGCAGTTAATAAAGCTCAGTATTGTAGGCTTCATTAAAAGAAGCATAGAGTACAAGAGCTGGGAAATAATAATGAACTTCTTTAAGATACTTGTTAGACCTTAGCTGGTATATTGCCTGGATTTGTCAGTGAGTCACAGCCCTTTATTTAGGTAGCTGTTTCTATGGGCTAGATAGATAGATAGATAGCTGGCACTCTCTGATCTTGCTGCATATTGAAAATAGTTGGCTTTACCTTGGCACCTTTTCCTTTTCGGATCACGCAGTGATCATGGACACAAACTCCCGTTGCCATTCCAAGATGCAATATTCCAATTTACACTGTATCAGCTGTTAGAAGTTGGATATGAGAGTCAGTTAACCTTTACTTCCTTTCTCCAATTCTGAAACAATTTGAAATGACCTTTATTGATGACGGTAGAAATATTTTCCTCAATATCAATAAGACTTGACACTTGCTGTCATTTGGACAGTAATATAAAGTGCAACAACATTATCATTGTCTCTTTGGAGCAAGCATCATCTCATGGCAGCCACTCCCTGGTGGTACCACTTGATGTGGAACATGTACGTGTGGTCTGTATCGGCCCCTGTACTTCTGAGAGAGTTGTCTGCAGGATGGTCCTTGTCTCCTTTAGCCAAATCTGTCTCTTGCCTTTCCATGCTTTCACAGCAAAGTTCTTGGAGACCAATTTAACCTGATCATCACCTCACTGTTGTTTGAAGAGACCAATTGCAAAAGATGTCATTAAGCTAACAGTGCCAGCCCAAACCAGACCAGATGCTAAAGGCTTTCCTGCTATCTGCCACCACCTCAGCTCATAAAAATTTCAGTACCAGTACCTGGCCAAGTGGTGACCTTGGTACCCAGTGATTTTTTTGTCTCTGTTTTATGTGCCTCTAGGATATGTATCTTTTAGTTTCTACATTTTGTTTAACATTTTAGTTAATTTCTGCAGACATTTGCCTCTTTGCCATTAGACTAATGAACACCGTAACCACAATTCCTCATCCAGTCACCTCACAGGCGGGAATAAAATAGTTTGGTATAATAGTCAACATAAAAATGAAATTAAAAGTACAAAAGCATTGGAGTTTGTTTTCATTAGTTAGCAAGTATAGAAAATGCTGGAGAATCTCAATAGGTCTAGCAGCTTCTGTGGAGAGAGGGAGTGTTAAAGTTTCAAGTCTGGTATGACTACTTTTGACACATCTGGTATTCTTGCAAATAATCTATTTAAGAGGAAAACTGACATTTATACTGAGAGTGCTGATTAGTTGTCAAATGGACAGTGGTAGAAGTGTTGCCATGGAGAATGCACCAGTTAATGATGGTTGACAGTTAACTGCAAGACATGGCATGCATGTTCTTTTGTTTGCCAAGAGCAAGGACCTGAATGTTCATGGACATAACTTCCAATAGATGCAAGCGTGTCGCAGTGTGAGCCTAACTAACAATCCGAAATTGGTTGTCAGCATAATTCTTTACACACTCCAGTGCATTTGCCAAGCAGGCAGCGCTCTCTTGTTAATTTTGGTTATTGCCTTAAATTGTGATTCTGACAAATTGTCCTAATAAGAGACAAAATTTCTTTAATTCAGTAATACTCAAATTAGCCATATTTTAAACCAGTGGTTCTTTCATCATTTGGTTGGGAACTGTAGTTTGATCTGACAACATGGGATCAACTAGCTTCAATTGCATGTTGGCAGTTTGAGTAGTGTTGCTTTTGTATAATTAGAAACAAAGAAAACCATGTGATAATGTTGGAGACCAATCAAGTTACTGGAAAATTACAGGTTTATAGCATTGTTATCAATCAAAATAATCTCTGGAGTTAATATCCATGAAAGCAAGTTTTGTCTAGTTCATTTGCTTTGTATGCTATTCTGTCAGTCAGTGTAAATGAAAAGCTGAAAATATGAGAACACTTAAGGATTTGGATCTTGTTTTTCAGTGTTTCAGCAGAATTTCTTACCATAGTGAAGTTTCAATATCAATTGCATAGTTAGGCTGAAGCTTTTACTGAAAGAAAATTCCAGTGAATTAATCCACTCCTTTAACCATAGTTACATAAAGCAAATTATTTTGCACATCTCAATGCTTGTTTCTAATATTTTCAGCCCAGCAAATATATGCTTTAACTTTTAAGGACTTCAAAAAAAATGGTTTGTTGTCATACTAATGCACAGTTTGAGTGTCTTTATTTAATTTGTATAGTCCTATTTTAAACTGCATATTAAGTGGTTGTAAAGTTGCTGTCTGTATTTTGTGTTAAAAGTTGCTACAATTCAGAAAAGCAATTCGGTATGTATGAAGCACTTTAAAGCTTTCAAATATAATAAACTGCTAATGATAAATATCGATGATTCACTGTCCTCCTGAAATGAGACAGTGTGTGAAGTATTGAGAGAGAAGTTGTGGATAATGGTGATGTAGCTGGCTTCTGGTAGCACCATCCTCACTGTTCTGTTCAAGGTAGCATTGTGCAGAAGGAAAGATTCATCTTTACACATCTATAAATATTTATTTACTGATGCACACCTAAATCTGACCACGACAATTTCAGTCCACTACATATTCTCCTGTAAACCCATTATCACTTAAGTGCACCATTTGAATGTGGCATTAACCCACTGTGACAACAAAGCCAAACTTTTGAAGGGAATTTAAAAAGTTATTACTGAAGTTGATAATGCACATCAGCCCCCTGGGTGCTCATCAGTCACAGAAGGCCTCAAAACAAGTATACTGGTGGGTCCTGTGTATTCCCTCTCCGGGAGCACTCAGACACGGGCATAATTGCTGAGTAGAGGCAGGAGATGTGGCTTACCAAACTCCTAGATGTGCTAACAGCCACCTTAGCCAGACCCAGGAGGTTTCTGATCTGTTCAACCTATTCCATACCAATACTTACCCAGGCCCCTACCATTAACTGTGTAAATCTTGCTCTGGTTTGTTTCACTGAAATGCAACACATTGCATTTATCTAGATTAAACTCCATCTGCCATTCCTCTGCCCAGTTGATCAAGATCCATTTATACTCTTAGATAACCTCCTTCACAGTCAATACAGTGTGGAGCTGGAGGAACACAGCAGGTCAGGCAGCATCAGAGGAGCAGAAGAGTCAACGTTTTGCGCCTAGACCCTTCCCACACTGTATTGACAATGACTGCAACATCTACAGTTCTTGCTATCTCCTTCACAGTCCATTATACCATTGGTATCAGCCCCATACAGAGTAATGGCATGATTTTAAGAAATCTGATGACTTTGACCGTGAGTTGTACTTTAGCACAATGGGTATCCCTAGATAGTTCATCCAGTAATATCCAGCCCACTCCCTCTGCCATTCAGTATACCCATGACTGTGGTCAACTTGGTAACCCACATCCTCTTCTGCCAGCCCCATGAACCCACACTGATGGGAGGAGGTATGGATTCCTAAGCTGTGGATCCTGGGCAATAGCTTCAGGAGATCTCTGGCTGGAGGACACCATCTTCCAGACCCTGATCTGTTCCTGGTAAAAGATGGGGCAGCTCCTGCAAGCAGGTATGGAGACTCCACAGAGTAGGGTGCAATTGATGTGCACATTTCTGTAGGGTATGGGGAGAGTGATGCCCGCACCTCTGTGGGGTTTGGGGGGGAGGGGGGCAGTGCTTGAGTCTTCACGGGGTTCGTTGAAGGAATGATGCCATATCGTCACTAGAGTCAATGGGGTGGGTGATGCCTGAATATCCATGGCATTCACTGGGGTTGGGTAGCAGTGCCTGAGTCCCTGCAGTGTTTAATGAGGGAAGGAACAATGTCCAATTGTCTGTGTCTTCAAATAGTTGAGCAACAGCCAACACCACCTTCAGTATTTCTGCATCATTACTACAAGGAGACCTGGACTGTGTACAGAGGTATAACCAAGATATATTCAAAATAGATTCAAATGTGGCTTTGCAAGGAAATTGGATAATTTTATCATCTTTCATTGGGATGTGGCTGTTGCAGGTATGATTAACTTTTATCGCATATGTACCCAGTTGCCCTTGGGATGATGGTGATGAGCTGCGTTTTTGAACTGCGATAGTTCACATTGATTGAAGGAGTTCCAAGATTTTGATCTAGTGACAATAAAGAAACTGTGGTGGAATCCGAAGTCAAGATTGTGAGTGGTTTTTGGCCTGCACTGTCAATACTCGAAACAAAATGTCTCCTGTTTCAATTGATCGCCCAATTGGACAGCATGTGCTGAACAATCCTAAGTACGTTAGCAGCTACACTAACACAATTTTAAGAAAATCAGTCAGGCTTATCATGTGGCTTGTTTGCTAGAAGTGACATACACTCGTACATTGGGACTTGTTCTTGGAAAATGAAAACAATCTGTTCAAGACTCGTCCCTTTTTGAACGATCCAGGAGCTTGTGGAGCCTGGGCCTCAGCCAATCAGAGTCAACCTGCCAAGCGATCCGTACCCTTTCCTTTTGTCATTATAAATTGTTGTTTGAAATTCGGCATTCTTGAGTTTGTCCTGGTAAAATGCAAGATGTAAGTATGTCTCATTAATAATTACTTCCAAAAATAACACTAATAAATTAGTCCAAAGATGTGCACACTAGGTGGATTTAGCCATGGGAAATACAGGGATAGTGTGGGGGTGGGGGTGGGTAGGTGGGTAGGTGGGTGGTGGGTTTGGTCGGGATGCTGTTTAGCGTTGTGGACACAATGGCTGAAGGGCTGTAGGGATTCTATGATTCTATACCACACCCCACACCACAACAACATAAGAATTAGGAGCAGGAATAGGCCATTCAGCCCCTCAAGCCTGCTCCATTCTTCAATAAGATCATGGTCGATCTGGTTGTGGCTTCAGCTCGAATCTCTTGTCTGCCCCCATGTCCTTTGACTGTCTTGTTAGACAAGAATCTGTCTCAGTGACATATATCTTCAATGACCCAGTGTCCACTGCTTTCTGGGGGAAGAGAATTCCAGATTAATAACCCTCTGAGAAAAAGAAAATTTTCCTCATCTCTACCTTCGAAGAGAGATTTCTTAATTTTAAACTGTGCTGCCTAATTCTAGTCTTTTTCTCAAGAAGAAACATCCTCTCAGTAGCCACCCTGATAAGTCTGCATAGGATTTCATACATTTTAATGTAATCACCTTTCATTCTTCTAAACGCCAATGGATACAGGCCCAACCTGTCCAAACTTTCCTCAGAAAGCAACCAGAAATCAGTCAAGCAAACCTTCTCTGAAGGTTTATTTGCATTTTGGTGATATAAACTTATACAATTAATGATAGGGCCTTGGGCAGTGTTATAGAACAGTGATCTAGGGGTTCAGGTATATAATTCTTTGAAGTTTGCATCACCTATAGATACGGTGATTAAGAAGGCATTTAGCATGCTTGCCTTCATTGCTCAGACCTTTCAAGTACAGAAGTTGGAACATTATGTTGAAGTTCTTGGTGAGGCCTCTTCTGGAATTTTGTGTCCAGTTCTGGTCTCCCTGTTATAGGTAGGATATTATTAAGTTGGAGAGGGTTCAGAAGAGATTTACCAGGAGGTTGCTGGAAATGGAGGATTTGAGTTGTAAGGAGAGGCTGGATAGGCTGGGACTTTCTTCACTGGAGCGTAGAAGGTTGAGGGCTGACCTTATAGAGGTTTATAAAATCATGAAGGGGATAGATAAGGCAAATGGCAGGTGTCTTTTCCCAAAGGTGGTGGATTTCAAGACTAGGGGGTACATTTTTAATGTGAGAGGAGAAAGATTTAAGAAAGACACAAGCAATTTTTTTTACACAGTCAGTGGTTTGTGTGTGGAATGAGCTTCCAGGGGATGTGGTGGATGCAGGTACAGTTACAACATTAAAAAAAAAATAAGTACATGAATAAGAAATGTTTGGAAGGATATGAGCCAGGAGCAGGCAGGTGGGTCTAGTTTAGTTTGTGATTATGCTCAGTACGGACTGGTTGGACCGAAGGGACTGTTACCATGCTGTATGACTATGACTGTTTGTTTCTGATGCAATTGTATCCCCTCTCAAATAAGGTGACCAATTCTGTGCCCAATACTTAAGATGTAGTCTCACTAAGGCCCTACTTCCCTACTTTTATATTTGATCTCTCATAAAAAATACCAACATTCCTTTAGCCTTCCTAACCACTTGTCATGCCTATGTACTAACATTTGTGATTGACGTACCAGGACACCCAGATCCCTCTGTACTGCAGAGTTCTGCAAGCTCTCTTCATTTAAATTGTTCTAAAGATGCTTTATATTTAATATTGCTTGGAGGACTTAAATTTACTTTCCACAATCCTTTAAACCTTATGTCATGTTTTCTGGAAATATCTGGAGTGTTTTTTTTTTAAAAAAAGAGGTTATTGAAAGTTCAGTGAACATCGGACTTTTTTTTTTTAAACAAGGCTTCCTGTAAACTACACGAGTGGTGATACCTAGAGCTAGGAACATATAATATGTATAGATCTATGTCTATAACTTATTATTATTTCCTTAACTTAATACACTTGATAAATCTTCTATACATGTCTTTAATACGTCTCGAGTTATGTTTAGTTGATTCCATAAATTCAGAATGGCAAGGGCATCTCAGATCTGTGGAGTGTACATCCTGTTCCATGTGAGAAACCCAGGACCCTTTGAATCAAAGTGTATCACCTGGAGGGGCCTAAAAAAATGCTGTTGAAGCTCAATTAAAAATGTCAAAACTGAGCTTGATATATATTCCATTGTCAGCCAAGGGTAGGTAGTGTTAAGATACAAATGAGCCATTTGTCTTAACTGAGTGGGGGAATAGGCACAACAGGCTGAATGGACTCTTCCTGGTTGTACAGATGAGGTCTGCTGGGTGTATAGGGTGGTGGTAGATAGCACATATTTAATACGTCTTTACAGTTGTATGTCAGCAAATTTATTTTGGTTAAAGAATGAAAATATGTGTGCTAATAATCCCAATTTATTTTCCATTCAAATTTATTTCAAGTATGTAATTTAACACATTACAAATAAAGACTAAGAAAATTACCTCATCATAAAAGTCTGACTTTCATTAAATAAATGTAAAAACTAAAACTGAAAATGATTAGAATCCTATTGTAAGTGCAGATTCTCATCCATTCATCAAACACCAATTAAAGGTTCTTACAGAGAAAGGCACAAATCCATTCAGGAGCTGATTTGTCCTGCATCTGAGAGATTGTAGTCTTTTCCCTGAACACATCCAATAGAAATACTGAAACAAGGCCAACTCACACTCTTTGTGACACGGTTTATTTCAGTCAAAAATCTTCAACAGCAGCTTTCATCAAGAAAGATGAGCTCATCAAATCTCCTTCACGCCTGGTTCAAC